TCACAAAAAACTATGAAAAACTTTAAAAATCACTAAAGCATTTAATATTTTTTTCAAATAAGCATTGTTCATGCTGATGATAAAATACAGCACAAACACTAGAGTTGACGAGCTGGTAAAGGCCAAGCTCTGGAGCAATATTTTTAATGTATAATTTTTTTAAGTAACAGAGAATTTGTACATATTCTTGAATTACCATATGATGCTTTGATCCATGTATATAAATCCTGCTCCAATCTCCTTTGCATCTTTCCCAAGGACTGATCTCCCCTTGCCTGTAATGTACTGAAATGAAATATCAGCTGCTGAGGCTCAGTGTGCAACTCCACACACGTCCAAGCAGAACAGATGTTAGGCTACAACAATGCCTATTGTATATCTGTGTATTCAATAGAATCAAGCTTCTCTGGTATGCATTTAATTTAGCTTTTCCATTTCACATAAAAACAAGTGCTGTGAAACTATCTTATGAGCACTGATTTTTATGGAATCTCCTGTCCGTGTGAAAGTTAATGCTCCTTGAGGTGACATATGGAAGTGCTTTGATGGATGGATGTTCAAATGAAATGTGTCTGCATGATTCAAGGCCTGGGTAATGCTGATGTACAAGCTGGTGGGGCGGTGATATTTTTAAAATATAAATTAAATGGTTTTTTGATGATGTAATTGCTTAGAAGGCAACACAGAAAGCTAGAAAAGTGGGACTAGAGACAATGTTTATTTTAAAAGGTAAATAGCCATGGCAGTTAAGGCTGCCTTTATTTTCTTATGCGATAATATTATATGTACCTATAATTGTGTGGTAACATCTATGTTAATATGGAAAGACACATTTATTTCATATTAATAGTATGATATCTCTATCAGTATTTAATAATTAGAGTTTATCTATTTCTTTTAAGCCTGTGTATACTATAATTTGCATAAATTAGTACTTATATATCAAATATATTCTTCCTAAACACTTTACCACTTGAAAATTGGAGGTTTTAGATGATAGGGGTTCTTCCAAAGATTATAGGCATCTTGAAATTTAGTTGATTAATTTGAATCTCTTCTATTCTTTGGAAAACCCCGTGTCATTTTTAGAAATCAAATTTAGGTTAAGTAGTTTCAGTAAATGTTTTACTAAACTGACAATATTTTTGTGGGACTGAAGAAAAACTGGATTCTAATACAGTAAGTGGAAATTGCAACACTCTAACTCTTCTCACTTAAGATCATGAATCTTTAAAAATATTTTATTTTATGTGTATCAGTCTATTGCCTGCATGTGGGTAAGTGTACCCGTGTTATGCATTGCCCATGGAGGTGAGAAGAGAGCGTTGGATCCCCTGGAACTGGAGTTATATTTAGTTGCTACTTGCCATGTAGGTGCTAGAAACTGAATCCAGGAACTCTGCAAGAGCAGCCAGTGCTTTTAATTGCTGAGCCATCTCTCCACTCCCCAGATCATGGATTCCAATTTTATTTTTAAGATCTGTATTAATACTTGAAGTGTTACTAATAGTGTCTTGTCTTTCATCCATCTCTCTCTGTCTCACTGGTTCTGTCCCTGTCTCTCTAGCTTTATTTTTCTTTCTTTTATTATTATTATTAATTTTTGCTTTTTGAGACAGGGACTTATATAGCAAAGATTGATCTGGAGCTTGCCATGTAGTTTAGGATAACCTTGAATACTTGATCCTCTTTCTTCTACCTCCCCAGTGCAAGAATTACAGGGGAATACCACCCTCATTTTTCTCTTAGCTCTGATTACTGACAACCACAGAAGTATTCACACTACCTGTTATTTCTTCAAATAATGGTCTGGTCAGCTTATAATTACTGTAGATATCTCACAATCCAGCCTATATTATTTTTAGAAATAACAGTAGTTATTAATCTATCACTAGACACTTGCTGTTTAATATAATAAACATACATTATTTTTTAAATTATTTATTTAATAACCACATGATTAAAAGAAGCATTTCATTACATCATTAACATATTCAATAATAATTTCCAGAGCAAAGACGTATCTCTTTCAATATTGGCTGTAAATTTTTAGGTTCACAGTTGAATTAATAGTTATATAATATTGAACTCAGTATAAATGCTATAAGACATAAAATTGAATTCGGTTTTAACCTTTAAAAAAGATATCCATTTTAATTTAAAATATACTGTTTAATACAGAAAAACTAATTTTTAATGCTACTAACACTTAGATGTTTGCACATGCATCTCTAATCTCTATGTATCTGATTATTACTAGTCAGTCGGTTACACTCAGATCCTTGGCACCTGAGTATGGATATAAAGTCATCAGGTAGATTTCAGTGGTAATGTATTTCACCTCTACTAATTAACATAGAACAAATTTTTATGCTTCTTCCTCAAATATAAATCATTTTTTATTTGTTGATTTTGTGTGTGTGTGTATTTCATACAGAACATCCCCCAAAATCTTATTCATCTACATACCCACATTCCAAATGACACCCTCCCATAGTCTCCCCCAACCCCCACTGGAGCCCATATACTCTGTCATCCTGTTACTGTCCACTGTGTTGTTGGCACCCCCAGCCTTTCTCCAGTGCTTGTCCATCTGCTGAATCTAGTCAGCCTACCTAGAGTTTCTTGTTTTAGGAAGATCAACTCTTCCTCATCTAGCAGCAATCAATTGCCAATATTCCTTAGATAAGATTAGGGTCTGCTGTTCATTTTCCCACTTCTATGCTGGGTTAATGTCTGGGGGTCTCTTGGGCTACCCTGGTCAACAACTCAAAGGAAGATATGTCCTGTCTGGCACTGCTTCTTGTTATGTTTAGCTATACAACATGGACTGTTAAAAAATTATATTGACCCCGTTAATCTTTAGTTATACTTTCCTTTTAGGTGTTTAAGACAATACAGTTGGCCCAGATAAACCAATTAATTTTTACTCTTAAGATCGTTTGAGGATCAGGGGTCACAGGGGCTTGAGAGTAGCCCCTGGCTCCTTTCTTTTACCAGTTCCATCTATGTGAAGATAAGTCAAAGGTCCTGCTTGACCATGGCTGACTTTACTTGGAAGCATGGAAGAAATGTTTCCTCTGTGTTGACCCTCTTCTTTGTAGACTGGACACAGGTTTAAGTCCATCTGGTGGGGTCTCCATGGCCTCCTTGCTCAAGAGGATAGGTGATGCACCACAGTTACAGGATATTTTGAGAGATGCTCATAGTCCCCTAGAGCTTAGTTGACTTGGGGGCAAAAACTGTCCTTTAAGTCCCTCTGACCAAATTAGTATAGGCCTCAAAGTACAGCGGTTAAATATCTAAGAACGTTAGTTCCACCAGTCTGGTACTTTTAATTACCATGTGTTATGTAGATAAAGCTTGGGCAAAGACCAAACATTCTCAGATAAACCTTGCCTAGGCATTAGATTCTTGATCTTATTGTATGTATAATTTATCAGTAGGTTGTTGGTCTACTGTGGTTCCCTTTGGTTACTTT